ATGAAGAACTGTGCTATAATCACACAATGGAGTATTACACAGCCTTCAAAACGAATGAACTACAGCAAGATGTAACAATACAAATCTTAGTAATACAACACTAGGTAAAAATAATAAGCTGCCAAAAATTAAATACAGCAGTATTTCTTTATAATAAGGTAAGAAAATAAATAACTAAAATTGTAAAAAATATGGGCCGGCCCCTGGCTTAGCAGTTAAGTGCGCGCACTCCGCTACTGGCGGCCCGGGTTCGGATCCCGGGCGCACACCGACGCACTGCTTCTCTGGCCGTGCTGAGGCCGCGTCCCACATACAGCAACTAGAAGGATGTGCAACTATGACATACAACTATCTACTGGGGCTTTGGGGAAAAAAAATAAAAATTGTAAAAAATAAATTTTTAGGAATACGTATAACTAAGATAAATACATAAAAAGGAAAAAACAATGATCCTTGGGAGAGGGATGAGATGAGGATAGACCAGTTAGATTTCAGCTATTGCCAAGGTCCTAGCTTTCGTGTTGATAAGTTCTTATGACAGTATTATAAGTAAATAAATGTTTCCTGTGCATGGAGCAACAAAGAGTGTGTCATGAACCAAGGTTATGATTAATCTAAGTCTGCACATCTGACATCCATTAAAGGAAAGGGAGAGAAATTATGCCTACCTCCTCCAGGCAGCCTTACTTGTTTGGGGGCGATAGGGAAAAGATTTTTCTTCCCCAATCCTCTCTGGAACTTTTCTCCAGGGACTGTCTCTAGGTTCTCCTCCTGGAGAGGTGAGCTGGTGGCACAGAGGTGACGCAGGGAGAGGGGTAATCCAGGGTTTAGCTACTTCAGGAAAAGCATCCTGGAACTGGTGGGAAATGGCCCCTTCCCAAGGCTGGAGTAGGAACCTAGAGGTGTGGGTGAGCTTCCATTACCATTCAGCTTCTCCTACTCCCCAGGCTAAGAACTGCAGGATGTGTTGTCTTCCACCCTTTTCCTGTTCAGCCTCATCAAAGACCTCAGGGTGGGGGTGGGGAGGAGCCTCAGAGGCGGGTCCTGAGAGAATGGGACTGTGGCCACAGGGCAGATACTTGTGGTAACCATTCTGAGTACCAGGGAGCAGGGACCAGCAGGGGCCAAAACCAGCATCTTTGAAATTCAGCTTGGAACTAGGGGCCCACAGACTCAAAGCTTCTTTTTTCATGTACCCTTTTTTTTTTTTTTTTTTAAAGATTTTATTTATTTTATTTTTTCCCCCCAAAGCCCCAGTGGATAGTTGTATGTCGTAGCTGCACATCCTTCTAGTTGCTGTATGCGGGACTCGGCCTCAGGATGAACGGAGAAGTGGTGCCTCGATGCGCACCCGGGATCCGAACCCGGGCCACCAGCATCGCAGCGCGCGCACTTAACCACCAAGCCACAGGGCCGGCCCGTTTCATGTACCCTTCCTTTCAGCCTGGCCCAGAACACGCGTGGGCCATCCTCAGCACCTCCTGCCCCTCATCTCCCTGACTTCCCTGCTCTTCTCTTCTTCATCCAGGCTGTAGCTCCTAATCCCATACTCTTACTTCTTCTACTACCAATCCCCAAGATCAGGCCCTACTTTGTGAAAGAAGGGATGTGAAGAGGCCTTGGGAGGGAAGCTTACAACTCTTCACCTTACGGGATGGGGCTTGAAGTCAGATTGAACTGGGCTGGGCTGGCCTGGCTGGACTCTTACCTTTGGTGAAGGGGTTAGAGGTCAAGCTGGACTGGGCTAGGAGTATAAAAGAGGGGCTGGAGGTTGTGCTGCTCTAGACTAGCAGTCCTAAGAAAGGGGCTGGAGGTCAGACTGGATTGGGCTGGGACAGGAAACAGGGAAGGAGCTGGGCTCAGGCTGAGCTGGAGGTCTCGGGGTTCAGGGCCTATGCCTCTGCAGTGGGGCCTGGCTGGGGTACACAGTTGGGCTGAAACAAGTTTTTCAGCGTCACGCTGGGCCCTGCAGCTGGGCCCTCACCTACAGCTGAAGGCATGAGGCCATGAGGGCCTTGAAGTGCTTCTCCCTTCCCCCATCCCAGCAATTTCTCCTGACCAAGGGCCTTCCCCAGAGGCACTGCTGGGGCAAACAGGGAGGAGCCAGATCTGGGGCTCCAGAGGAAGTTGCTGGCCGCTATGTTTCCTGAGCTCAAAAAGTGGGTTCCCCTGTCTCTCTGGCCCACTCCCTTCCCCCAAGTGGGACAGAGTTGAAGCCCGGCAATCTGTCTCTTCCCTTGACCCCCACCTCCTCCAAAACACACACTATGTGAACCCGCAAACGACCAACCGAGAGTCCAAGCCTGGCTATCTATCCTTTCCATTGACCCCCATCCTCCTCCAAAACACACACACACACACACACACACAATGTGAACCTGCAAATGACCAAGCTAGTCACAGAACCGCTGCCCTGGCAGCCCCATAACCCAACAGAATTGTACTGCCAAGCCATGTAATCAACAACACATCCTCATTTATGTACTTATAGCCTCCCACTCACACCCAGAAGTCATGCCTTCTCTGCCTCGTTCAGTACCATATCCCTAGCACCCAGAGTTGGGCCTGGCACCTGGAGATGGCTCAATGAACAATAGCTGAATGAATAAATCCACTGAGACACATACCATAAACAAATGCAAATCCAAGCCGACATACATATTCACACATGTAGATGCTCCGTTACACACACAAATCCAAGCCCTTTCCCAACTCAGCAGTTACATACATACATACACCGGCACACATTCAGGCAAAAAGGCCAGATGTACACCTAGTGCCAGACACAGATGCACTGCAGGTAGGTGTTACTTAGCACTCAGGGTGAATTGGTGGTAGCAGCTGGCTGGTAAATGTCCTTCAGTCAGGTCAGGCCTGCAGAGGAGGAGTGAGGCATGTGTGTTTAACTGCAGGCTTGGGATCTTGAGGCACTGGGGCAATAAAGAGGAGCTGGGCTGGCAGGAGGGCAGGGCCAAGGTAACTGAGTGGACTGGAGAGGGGGTGGGGTGGACCATGTAGTCCTTTCCTCTGGTTTCTTCCTGCCAGCTGCAGAGGTGAGGACAGACAAAGGCCTTACTTCAGATCCAGAGAGACCTTAGTTAGGGAATAGTCTGAGGCCTCAGATTCCACTGCCTGGGATGAAAATGAGACTGGCTAGGAGGCTTCGTACATATTAAGACCCCATCCACAACCCACAGCAGGGTCACCCTATCTTGCCAATCTTCTTAAATGGTGGAGAAGGAGGGGACTTGGGGGTGAATAACTACCTGGAAAAGAGTCTAAAGTGCCCTATTCCTCTTTCCGTCTTCCTATGGAGCTTCAGGATGATGCCCTGTAGCAACAGCACTTAGGGCATCCTCCTCCCTCTATGCCCCCACCCAAAATCAGCAAGGAGACAAATAATCCTGCTCTCTCACTTGCCCACTGAAGGACCTAACACCAGGGAGACTAGTTCAGAGATGTCAGCTGGGCTGGTAGGCTGGAGGCTGGGGAGGGACAGGAATCTCACTGACAAAAACAGAAGACTCCCAGACATACTAATTGCCCAAAGCTCCTCCAACTGAAGCTCCCTCCTAGGCAAGGACCCCTTCCCCGCCCCTCCCCCAACAGCCTAATTCCGGGCTGCCTATCCCAGGAACTCTGCCTCAGGAGGGCTACCTACCTGGCAGCCATGACAGAGGTGAGGAACAACAGGGCCAGCCTGGGACACATGAGGAGCAACACCAGAAGAGTGAGGAGTGATGGGAAATGTGAGATGGGAGTGAAGGAGAATTGACAAGTCTAATTCATACCTCCTCCCCAATGACTGGTCTTAGGGACTACAGGAAGGAGGGGAAAAAGATCATCTTGGACTGAGTCATCATTAGGCATCAATGACCAACCAAGACACTCTCAAACCAAAAAGTCTCTTTATTGATCAGTACCATACATGACTCAAATGGCCAAAAAAAAAAAAAAAAAAAAAAAAAAAACCGGCATTACAGTTACGGTGGGACATCCATCTTCTCTACCCCTTCCCTCAGCTCCTGACACAATACCCTTCCAACAGTGGCAGCTGGAATGGACGAAACAGGGTGTGGGGGGCCCCAGAATCCAGAAGGAAGAGTGGGGAAAGAGGTGGTGCTAACACTTCTGGAACCAGCCACAGGAAAAGGCAGCGAAGCCACAGAGCTGGGCCCAGACTTGTGGGACACCACTCTTGGCCTCACCCTGGGCCTGGAGCCTCCACACGTTCAACTGTGAAACAGAGCTGCGGATCCTGGCTGCCTCCGCCTCCCTTCTATGAGGAAGGTGAAGGAGGGGATGTTGGGAGATGAAGACGGTCTACTTCAGCTGGGGGACAGAGGCCTATGGCTCCCTGGTCAGCTTAGAGCTGGCACATCCTCAATGGCTCCTTCCCCTCTGTGGAGGGCAGGGGAGGACTAGATATGCAGTTTGAGGGGCTGCGGGAAGAGAGTACTGGTAAGAGCAGATGAATCCCGCTCCCAACCCAGGCCTGCCCAACTGAGACAAAACAAAAAACACAGCGACAAACAAGGCTGCTCCCTTCCCTCCACACACCCTAAAGGAGGGAGCCTCCACCTCCCCCATCCAAGACAGCTGCTCTAGTGGAGGACTCCTATAGAATATACACGCCACAGGGGGAGGGGGTTGGGGACTGGGCCCGAGGGAATCACAAGCACTAGGAGGGCAGGCCAGAGTCCTGGGAGATGGGGAGACAGAGACAACAGCAGGGGGTTGTCACAAAGGTGAGACCATCAACAGCCCCCTACCCCATACCATGCCTTCCCAACTCCAGTCACCCCAGAGGAAAAGGGGAGAGAGATGGCAAAGTGTCTCCTTGGTCTGAAGCTCTCAAACTGTATAAAATGGTAATACATACCTCCCTACCCCCATGCTCACCTCCACCTGGGCCCTAAGTCCCCCATCTGACAGGAGTAGGGAGGTACCTGGACTTTTATTAATAAGGGGAAGAGGGGGGACATGAGTGAGTTTTTTTAAACTTACATTTTTAATAATATTATTTTTTAAAAAACTTGGAGTGGGATAGGCGGCAGAAAGGAGGAGAAGCCCAGAGCTTTACTCCTCTACTACTGGCCACCTAGGGGGAGGGCTTGAAGGAGGGGAACTCAACCAAGCCCCATAACTTTAGTCCCTAAGGGCTGTGGGTATAGACAACCCAGGCTTGAAAGGAGGGGAGTCAGAAGGATGGTGAACCCAAAACCTGGGGTGAGGATGGAGGCAAATGCCCTGGGGGATGGTCAGGACATTTCTCAAAGGCCCAGGGTCCAGATAGGCATCCACATGAGTACCCCCTTCCCCCAAAAGGCTCTGCAGAGGCCAGGCCCAGCCCAGGGCCACTGGGGGGCAAATCTTGGCACCTGCCCCCAGCGAGTCCAGTTCCTCCCTGAAGTGGGTGGATAGAGGCTGCCCATTTTAGATGCTCAGTCTCTTCATTCTGTCTTCTGCTCCCTGGGGCTGCAATGGGTAGGGCAGGCAGAGTGCTGGGTGGCCATGGCGAGGCCTTTACTGGGAGGCCTGTGACGTGGGGTTCTCCGATTTGCTTTCTTGGCTGGATGGAGGCTTGCTGTTCCAGGGGCTGTTGGCGCCCAGGGCGGGGGAGTTGTTAAAGCTGTCCTCGTCGTCAATGCCGTTGGCAGCGTCAAACTGGGTGTTCTCCAGACGGGTGATGAGCCTCTCGTCCTCGTCCCCGAACTCCCCGCCCATCAGGGTGGGCTCCCCCACCACCATCACATCCTGAGAGTGGCGGAGGTCCCCAAACATAATCGGGGCAGGGGCTCGCCCAGCCCAGGGCGGCAGATACCCCCAGAGCCCCACTACCCACCCAGGAAACAACACCCCCACCCCTTTCTCACACCCAGATTTAAAACCCCAACTCCTCTGACACCCTCAGCCCCTGGAATCCTTCCCACTGAAGGACTGCAGAGCGTCAGAGCCTTTAACCCACATCCACTAGAGTCTGAGAGGACAAGCCAATCTACTCCCCTAGCTCCCTAGTCTATTTCCCCAAAATTTTAGGGGGCTCCTAAACTTCTGTCCACATGTTAAGAGAGAGGGGGCAGGTCAAAAACACCAATGGGGGAAGTGTGTGCACATGTAGGTATTCTAGATTTGCACACATTTAATGTGTGTCCCTCTATCCGTGTGAGTGTGTGTCTCTCTGATGGTCTATGTGCCCCCAAGCTGTCTGTCCTGAACGTCCGTATGTTCTCATGGCTGTCTCTGTCCCTTTATGTCCTATGATGCTATGTCTGAATCTGTGTGATCACAACCACGCATGTGACTGACAAGGTCTCTCATCAGTGACAGAAGTCAGCCCATGCTGACTGGCAGAGTACACTGGGAAAAACTGTCTTTGCTTCTATGCCTGCTAGTGAGCTCAGGCTGGGACAGGGTCAAGGGTCAAGGGTCAGTAGTGGGGCAGCCCAGAAGAGAGAAGAAAGCCGAGATGCTTACAGGTACCTGGCTGGAGAGGGCGAAGGTGCTGGCTGGGCTTTTCTTCTTGCTGTTGCTGTTGTTGGTGTTGCCGCCCCCCGAGCTCATGGTGCTACCCCCTGACATCTTCCGTTTCCGCCGTTTGCTGGGCTGCTGCCGTGCGGGCTCCGCTGTGCCAGGGAAAGCAGACTCAGGTGGGGCAGGGCCCTGGGCCCCTTGTTCCCCATTCTGGCTCCTAAGGAGGCTGAGCCTACCCTGATCCCAATCTTGCAGACCCAGGATCGAGGAAGGGGCTTCACGAGAAGACAGAGATACAGCCTTGGGGAGCGGCATCAGATTCTGGTAAGAGGAGGTGCAGGTGCAAGGCACTCACCGGGGGGTGCTACCATGCGCTGCCACTTCTGGAAAAGGCAGGTCTTGAGGCAGTCGCGGGGGCTGAGGCTGTAGGTCTTGTGGCGGGACATGAGCTCCTGCATGGGCTCGAGTATCACACAGAGCTGGAGGAGACCAGGAGGTGGCTTATCAGGGGAGAGACATGGAGCTGAGACCAAATAGGATGGGGCAGAAACTAGTGATCAGAAACTCACTCGGAGGTAGTTGAGAGTGGAATTGGACAGCCCACACCGGGTGATGTTTTTGGAGAGCTGATCCAACATCTGGGGGTCCTGGGCCTACAGGGGGAGAGAGATAAGAATATTAGCACCTGGGTTGCATCTGAGCCTCATGACACTCCTGAGAGAGAAGAGGGAATATTATTAAACCCATTTTTCAGATGGAGAAACTCTAACTCCCTGTCTAAGGTCACTGTCAGGAAATAGCAGACTTGGTTCCACCCTCCCCGCTGGCTGCCCTCCCCCTTGCGTCTTGGGTCCTGCCCACAACTCACGTGCATGGCAAGGATGCTGCGGGGGATGAGTTCTCGGTGCTGCCGGATACTGAAGTGCCACGTCTTTATCCGCATCATGTCGTCAAACATGAACTCCAGGTATAACCGGCCCTCCACACACACCTGGAGACAAGCTTGTCACAACTCTGCCCCCTCCCCACATACCTGAAAGTACACCTGTTCTCCCATTTGTTCACAGCTCTCCCACTGTCTGCACTTCTGGCACATGCATATAAATCTGGGTGCATAATCGACAGAGACCATCCCCTCATATACCCGTCATACCGCTAGCCCTTTCATACACATACATACACAGTAGAAATGCTTATCAAATCCTTGTCCTCTCCCCATGTAGCTAGTGATACACTCATCACTATAAGTTCTACGAGGGCAGGCTCTTGTTCACTGGTGTACCCCTGTCGCCCAGAAAACTGTCACAACCAAACTCAATAAATGTCTGCTAAATGTGCAGCATGCCTGCCCTCCCTTCTTATCTTGCCACTTCCCATTACGCCTCCATGGGGGATAGCTGAGTACATTTTGGGAGAGAGGACGGGAATCAAACCCAGGTGCTTCAGTGTGCCACATTCAGCTGGGTTGCTAACCTGGGTGAACATGGGTTTGCCATGTTGGGTCACCATGCTGCCCTGGTCACAGTCGAGGGACACAAAGTTGCTGTGGAATGCCTCCTTGGGGTGCTTAAGCACATAGTACAGCTCCGTAGCACCCCCCTCAAAGATGCTGCGGAAGTAGCGTGGGATCAGGGTCCGGCCAATGGCTGTAGAGATGGGACAAACTTTTCTGAAGAGAAGAACCTCAAAAGGGGTCAAGCAGACGCCACCCTTGCCAAGACAGATCCTCCTGGGACAAACACCCACTCCCAGACCTTAGAAGGACACAGGAGGTATACACTCTCGCAGCAGAACTGGCAGGACCCCCCAGAGGCCACTCACTATATCTCTTTGGTCCACTCACTATATCTCTTTGGTCCATCCTCCAGGCAGAAAGTGATGGTTAACATGGCATCATCCTCAAAGAACTCAGTTGTGAAAGCATCCCACCAGAGATTGTCACACTCCTAAGGAGCACAGGGAGGGGTGTTAAGTATGTGCGTCAGAAGACATCCCACAGGAGTGCCCAGATGGCACGCCTCCTCCCAGCCCCTTTCCCCTGGCCATACCTCTGTCCAGTTTTGAAGCCGTTTGTTAAGCTCGAATATTCTGTAGTCAGTTTGGTTGCCATATGGGGTGTGCCTCCTGGGGAAGTGAAGAAGGGAGGTCAGTAGGAGCAGAGCCTCTTCACTCCCCCACCTCCACCTTCACCCATGTAATGGAAAGCACTTCCCTCTCCACTGGGCTCCACTTACCCAATCCCGGGCTCCAGGTATGTAGGCGGGTACATGGGAGTTGGGCTGTGTAAGGGAAGAGGCTATGAGAATGGGGGTGGAAGATAGGAATTATTGGGGGTGTCACTCCCTCCCCTTTTCAGGCAGGATCCCATCTGGAGAAAGGATGGGAAGTGGATAAGAGACTCACCCCACATCCCGATCTAGCATGGTGCCGGGATGGAAGGGGGGAAAGGCGTTGCCGTTCGGGGGCTCCTTTGGCGAGTACAGCTTGAATGACTTTGAGGAACAACCTGGAAGGGAAAGGAAGAAGGGGTCCCCTGAGTCCCTCTTGAGAGCTCTCCTGGAAGTCTGCTAGACTGTGTGGACAGGGACTGGTCTTCTGGAGCCCCCAGAGCGGACAAGGCAAGGGGGACTACTCTAGGGAGCACCTATCTCTGCTTCTAAATCTGGCTCCAATCTTGTTTTATTAAGAAACTAGAGGGGCCAGCCCGGTGGCGCAAGTGGTTGGGTGCGTGCACTCCGCTGTGGCAGCCCAGGGTTCGCCGGTTTGGATCCCGGGCGGGCACCGACGCGCCACTTGTCAAGCCATGCTGTGGTGGCATCCCATATGGATTGGAGGAGGATGGGCACAGATGTTAGCCCGGGGCCGGTCTTCCTCAGCAAAAAGAGGAGGATTGTCAGATGTTAGCTCAGGGCAGATCTTCCTCACAAAAAAAAAAGAAAGAAAGAAAGAAAGAAACTAGAAGTACTCAGCCCTAATACCCTAGACCCCATTTCTTCATGTGGCTGAGCCCTGGATGATAGAATTGAAGCTGGGAAGAAATGTCAATACCATGGAATAAATAAATATCCAAACATTACAATCTCATTTTGATAACCCCCCTTTTCATCTACATTATTTTGTTCAATCATCACAACCTTGTGAGGTAGGTAGCAAGGTCAACTCTAACATTCCCATTTCAAGATGAAGAACTGAAAACTTAAGGAGACTTGCCAAGATCATAGCTAGTAACTGGCAGAACTAGGACTTGAGCCCAGATCTTCTGATTCCCATCTCCTGTAGTATTTCTACCCCTCTATTGCCCTCTGGAGATCAAAATGGGGGAGGGGGAATGGGAGTTTTGCCAACTCCCTGCCCCTCCTCCACCCTCAGTGTCTCAGGAGGGCAGAGAGGGGATAGAAAGATAAAGGGGGGTAGGTGCCTGCTGGGTGCCGCCCACCAGATAACCAGTTGGGCCTTCTGCCTCCCCCACCAACGGCCACTCCCTTATCAGCCCAGCCCCCTTCCCCACACCCACCAAGTCTAGTATTGTCTCCAAACCAGAAACCCAAAGCCTCAACCCCTTTTCTCTTCTGAGACTTGCAGTGGGGGAGAGAGGTAGATGGACCTCCATTGGATCTCACTCTACTTACAATGGAAAATAGGACCTCTGGGAAGGAGTCTAGGCTCCAGCGAGCTCAGTCTAGGAGGCAAGTGGTAACTAGACAAGGGTGTCTACTTGTGTGTATCTGTGCATGTGCACGTGTCCTCTCTCCACCTCACCCAGCAGCACACAGTTTCTGGTGTACTGTTTCCTGAGTGGAAGAAGTGTTACATTCATAGCTGAGTATGAGCCAGGTACCCCCACAAACTATTTTCTCCAACACCACCAGACAGGAGGGGAAACTGAGGCACCGCTCCAAAGGTCCTGACCCCAGTCATAGTTGCTTCCTCCTGTTCCCAAAACTTGATTGCATTTGGAAGGGTAGCTGTATTGGCTGTATCTGAGACCCCCTCCCCAACTTAAATACAAAATCTATTTTATTCCTCGGGGAGAAGAAACAAAGCAAGACCCTGTGCCAACATGTGTCATTTAATTCTCTCCCCAGGGCCCCCTCCTCATAATATGGGCAAAAGGAGGTCCCAGGGGGCCTACACCACACAGTCCCTGAAGGTGCCAAAAGTCAGAGCCTGTGTGTGCCTGCACACGCGTGTGCCTCATCCTGCCTAGCAGCCTTCCACCCTCAGCTCGCCCCAACATGCCTACCAAGGGCTGGAACCCAGCAGCCCCAGGCAGGATCAGGGTGCCCACAAGCGGCCCTCGCCCCATGCATGAGCTCTCACAGGCCACGTCCACATGCTCCCAGCACAGCACACACAGCCTTCACATGCCACTCTAGACTGAAATGAGGAACTGTGGCCTCAGGAAAGAGACAGTCCTTCCCAGCCCCAAGTCTCCCCACTCCACAGACAAGATACACTAAGGCCATGTAGGAAGCAAGCTCACACAGCTCACCAGAGGCCAGGCCTGGGCAATGAGCCCAAGAGTCTAGATTATCAGACCTGGCCCTTGTCCCCTAATTAGGCCAACAGTTCCCCAAAAGCATCACTGCCCCTGCCTTCAGTTTCAGGGCCACTTGAAGAAGTGTGTCAGCTCAAGACCCTAAAGAGAAGGGAGGTAGGAGACCTGGGCTCCTCTCTAATTCTGAAAAAAGTTTCAGAGCTTCAATTTCTCTCACTAGAGAACTGACAGGCATTGCCTGGGGCTGGGTAACAGTTCTGAGGAGCTAAACCCCAAAGCTCTGGGGCCTCTATTTACACCTCCAGTGAATGGACACAAACAAATTCAGCATCTCTCCAGAGCCAGAGCAACTCCCAGCAGCCCCAGCACAAGAGCCTGGGAGTGAGAAGGGAAGGGGAGGGAACATCACCCAGACCATCTGTCCCTGTTGCTGCCTGTCCCCCGCAGCAGGGGTAAAGGGAGCAAGGTGGGGGTGGGGGTGAAGGGGATGTGTCATGCAGCCATGGAGTCAAACATAGCCCCAGGTCGCATCTCTAGCAATCTGGGAGCCCTTAGGAAGGGGGAGGAGAGAGGAAGAGCCAAAACCAGTAAAGTTTTTCAGGATGGAAGCTGCATCCAGTGGCTGAGGGGGCACCTCCAGCTGGGCATTTCCACGGTAACCAGCCTGACCTGAGGGCAGGTCCCCTCCCTTTGGGGGCTGGCCGTAGGTCAGCAGCCTGAGAGGCCTGGCTTCTGAGCTGGGGCACCTCAGCCAGCATACCAGGCCTGGGCCAGACCAAGGACCTGCCACCCACCCCCAACAGGCTTGCAGGGTGCCCAGACTTACCTGGGAGAACTGAGGGGACCAGGAGAGGTGCCGGGAGCGGCTGGAAGCCCAGAGGGGTCCTGGCAGGGGTGAGGACTGAGGGGGGGCCAACTTCAGCGGCTCATGTCCCGAGTGGGACAGGCAGGCCTGGCTGGGAGCTCCACTCCACGGGCCGCACAAAGACTCGCACGCACAGCCTCGGCCCGCCCCGCGGCAGCCACAGCCCCGGGGGAAAGTTACAATGGCCACTGCGCCAGGGGCCGGGGGCCAGGGGGCCGGCCTGGGGGGCGGGGGGCCGCGGGGAGTCCGGAGCCTTCTTTGTTTGCAAGGTTTCCCTCAACAATGGCTGCTCCGCTCTTTCCTCTCTCCTCCTCCTCCTCCTCGGCTCTCCCCGCCGCCGCCTCTCGCTGCCTCTGCCTCCAAGCAGCCCGCCCGCCCTCCCCAAGCCACCAGGCCCCTCTGCTGGGGCGCTAGGAGAGGCAGGGCCCGGCACTCACACTCACTCACACTCGCACACACACAGACACACGCAGCTCCCGCCGGCTCCCTTGCTTTTCTCCCTTTCTCTCCCTCCCTCCCCACTCTCTCTGTCGGAGCCTCTCTCAGAATGAGGCCCCAGGGCGGGCGGAGGGTGGAGCTGCCCCCACCGGCCCCGCCCCCTCCCTGGGAGGAAAGAGGAAGAGGGAGAGAGGGAGGGAGGGAGAGAGAGAGGCTGGCAGGGAGGACTGCTGAGAAAAACAAAAGAGAGACAGAGACTTGGAGAGACAGGGGACGGAGAGATGGAGACAGAACAGATTGGGCCTGGAGGGATCTGGATTGAGGGGAGGCCTGTGGGGGCCAGGAGCTGAAATGCTCCTCCAGCCCCAAGCCTGCTGCTCAGGGGTGAGCAGGGGAGCCAAAGCCACAGGCAGGGATGGAGGAGGGTGCTCTCCTCTCTGGAGACTTCCAGTATCTTCAAACTGCCTCCCAAACGTCCCCCAAATCTCTCTTCCTCTTCCCTGTGATCTCTCAGGTTGAAGGCTGGCCTGGGCTTCCACCCTGGGCTTCAGCCCCTGCTGAAATCCCAGAGCAGCTGGGGGGAGGCTCCAGGGGGTTATTTTTGACAGAGACACGCTCTGACTTCTGCCTGTAAACACTGACTGGAGGGAGAGGGGAACACTCCAGGCTCCCTGCCCCCAACTCAGCTAAGTTCCAAGCCCCAACTTCGATCTGCCTCAACAGGAAGCCCCCTTCCCCACCACCACCACCACCACCGACACATGGATACAGGGCAAAGAGGCACTGTCAGAGCTAGGGAAGGCAAACTTGCCCATCGAAGGGTCCCCAGAACAGGGCCTACTCTGCTGCTGAGTCCCTTCCCCCACGCCAGAAAAAAAAGGTATGTGGTTACTGGGGTAGGGCCTGTTCCCCAATGCAAGGAGGAATCTCAAGAGAAGGGGTGTTTCTAAACCTTGGGTAGTGGTCCAAGCCCTACTACCTGGACAGATAGGAAAAAAGTCTCACTCACTCATTCACAAACACACACACAGACACACAGACACACACACACACACACACCACGGGGGGGAGGGGCGGGAGGGTCGTATGGACCTCCTACTTCTTTGCAATTTGAGTCTCTGCTCCCTATTCTCTGTCCCCCCCAACCATATTCACACAGCCCCACAACAGGATTTCTCATGACTGTGCCACAGTTGACTGTGCAATAATAATATTGCACCTGGCTCTGTAAACATCCTCCACACAAAAATAACACATCTCACTTTTATATAAATCAGTACCTGATATACATTTTAATCTGTGATATACCTCAAATTAAATAAACCCAAACCCAGGGCACACATACATACACAGTCTATGTCAGACCCTGACTTCCATACACACTGCCCTCTGTGACACGGATGCCCCCTGACCCCAATACACACCCCAAAACTGCATTATATCCCCTGAACCTGTGACAGACTATTACATACACACCCTGACCATTTGTTACCCAGGAACTAACGCCATAAATCACCCTCCCTGAAACCTGCACACCATTCTCCATCATGGCGTGGCCATATGATACACCCCAGCTTTCACAAACATCGAAATCTATGACATTCAGCCAGACCCTGAAACATACTGTATACCACCAGGACTTTAGACATTTCCACTGAATTCCAAATTTACAGCCCAACTCTGGGTTAACTACACCCTTCCCCCACTGACAGGACAATTCCTGTCATTTGTTTTATGCCTTTAAACTTTTCAAAGTGCATTCATAGGCAGCACCTCATGAGATCCTCACAGTATACAGGGCCAAATACTATCCTAACTAACAGTGAGATAGGAGGGCCTGAGGCTGGAACCCAGTACTTCTAACCCCACTCAAACAAGCCCAGCCCTGGGGCATTGTAGCCATTTCTATTCCCTTCCCCCTCCAAGGAATGGCCACTCCTGCCTCCAAATGACTGTCTACATGGGGAGGGGGGATGGGCGTGTGCTCTGGCTTCTGCCCCTAGTTTAGAGCTCAGAACTCCCACCCAGTCTCTCTCCTCAGATTTCAGGGAGAAGGGCCCCTAAATACCAAGACGTATCAAGATTCTGGCATATCATTCAAATCAAGCCCTCTCTTAGCTCCTCTTCTCTAGCAAGTCTGCTCCTCTCTCAGTTCCGACTTAATTCCCCCACTTGTACAACGGCAGAAGAGGTCCACCTAAAGAGACCTAGTCTGAGTTTGAAGGCCCTAAAATTGGTGGGTGGGGAGAAAGCAAGGAGCAGCAAAGAATGACAAAGGTGATGAGAGAGAGAAGAGGGAGAGCACCCCTCCTGGAGGTGGGAACTCAGAAGGGCAGTAGCCTGCCCAGGCCCACAGGATAAGGTACCAGCACTGCCCCCTGCCCGGGCCCCTGGGGCTCCCTGACCCAGGCCTCCAGTGTGCCTGCCCCCCTTCCTTTGTCTGTGCCCGGCTTCCCCGTTGGCCTGGCGCTCTGCCATCCTCCTCTCCTGGCTCCCAGCCGCCAACACTACTGCCTCCTCCCCTCCCCCTACTCCTCCCTGCCTTAACCCTTCTGAGCCACATGCTGCCCCAGACAGGCCCTGGCTCCCTCAGCAACCTGCCTTGGCCAGGGTGAAGCCCCTTAGCAGAGCTTCTCCCTGCTCATGACCAAAGCCCCAGAAGCTATTCGCCACCCCAGGAGCACTATGGGAGCTGGGTGTATGTGTATGTGTGTATCTTGTGGTGTTTCCCTCCGCGTGTGCATGCGTGTGGGTCTGCGTGTGCTCTGGCTTCCCTCAGTCACATGTGTGGGGCATGTGCTGTCTCTGCCGGGCTGGGGGAGGAGGAGGAGCTGGGAGACAGCAGAGCACAAAGGAGAGACTCAGGCAGGCAGGCAGGCAGGCAGGCAGGCAGCAGGCAGGCAGCCTGCCAGAGCGCCTTGGCCCCCACCCCAGGGCTGCTCAGGTGCTGGAGGGGGGGTGGTCTTTGGGCCTGGACTGTACATGCTGCCACAATGCCCTTGTGCTCAACCACGTGCTCCCACCCACCTATGTAAGCCTGGTCCCCTCCCTTATCCCAAGGCCTACCATTCCCCACCCCCAGGCCACTCTCAAGCCCCTCCCCATGTGGTTCTCCTTGAAGTCTAACCTCCATCCATCCTCTGTGGCATCAATCCATGAGACTTCTTCACATTCAGACATTCAGGAAAAAGACTGCCCACTCTTAACCATCTTTTGCTCCCTCTCCCTCAACCAGCCCACCAGACACACAAAAGGAACATGCCTTTTGGGGCACTGACTGAAGTTGTTCCCCCTCACACGCCCCTCTGCATGGGTTCTCTTCCTGTCCCTATGCTGCTTCGAGAGAGACTGAGGGGAAACTCTCTCTTCCTACCGGACCCAGGCACCCTGCCCAACTTCTGGGCCAACCTTCCTTACCTCCAGCCTGACAACCCTTCCAAACCCACTTCCTATCCCCTGTAGGAACTAAGAATCAAATTTTAAGATTCAGCTCTCTAGCTTGTTCAGAGCCTTAGTTTCTGCTATGCTTATGTGTAGTGATGGAAGATCAAGGCCATGGGGTGGACTCAGAGCATGGATGGATCTGAACAGGGTACCCAGCGTGGGGGCAATTATAAAGAAGAAAATACACAAATAAACATGCACACCAAGCTGGTAGGAGGAGGAATGATGGGGCCAGGCAGGATTCCAGCTTGGCAAGCTCTTCCCTCTGCTCCTCTCCCCCACCCACTGCAGCTGGAGCCAGGGGTTCCCACACCCAGATATTCCAGGACGCTCAGGCTCTACTAGCCCTCCCTCTGGGCCCCATGCCCCTTAAACGTCAGCCTCAGCAGGCACTTTAACTGTGTGCCCAGCCCAGCCTAGCTTGGCCTGGGTCACATGATTTTCAAGGAAGCTTCTGCACTGGCAGCTTCCCTTGGGGATTGTGTGTGTGGCGGGGGGAGGGTCCTGTTGTGGGGTATGGGTCTCCCAGAGAACAGGGCATCTGGAGGGGCAAAGGATCCAAACCAGGCTAGATTCAGGGATACACGATTTTCAGAAGGAAGCTAACTCCAGCCTGGGACAGGAGAGGATCCTACAGATAATTCAAGAACCCAGAGTCCTAGGGATGGGGATAGACAGTGTTCTGAAACCCTCTGAAGACTACCTCTCCAGTCACATAGCCTCTCTCTTTCCTCCTGGCACTAAGGTAGAGCCTTTTCCCTCCCCAGGAAAGAACTAAGACCCAGGCTGTCACTGGCAAGAGCTGATATGTGTTTTGGGGAGGCAGGGATCTGAGCCTAAGTCCTCTCTTGAGTTCTCACTTTGGGGTCAAGCATTGCTCCCCTCAACTCAACTCTCACAAATCACTCCATTTCCTAGCTTGCCTGGGGCTGCCACATTCCCCCTCCCACTAGGGCGGAGAATGCCAGACCCGAGGGCCCAATTATCTGCCCCCGCCCCAGAGTACCTCCTGTCCCTCAGGAGGGCCAAGTTTCCCTGGCAACAGGCAGGAAAATTTGGAGGGGGGCAAGATGGGCTCCAATCAATCTCTACCCCCAAACACGGTCCTCAGCAACAGTCTAGAGGGGGTGTCACAGGATATGTAAGAGGGAATAAGCACCAGGGAAGTGGGGGCAACCCAAACCAGCCAATCACAACTCTATGATGACCCGAGGGGGGGGTCAAAAGTCCAGACTCACTTCTGATTGGCTAACACCCTGGAATTCTGGGAATTTCAGCCCCCCCAAACCTCTCCCCAATTAGCCTTCCCCTCCGCAAAAAACACACAAACAAGCTACCCCCAGCACCCCCTCCCCGTGCCTCTGGGCTGCTGCGTATTTACACAGTTGGGGGAAACCCTCCCGCGGACTGAGGCCCCGCATACCCCTCACAGCCCCCGACCACCGCCACGCCATCGACGCCCCCCACACAAGTTCTCGCCAAACAAGGGGTGAGGGATCCGCAGGGAGGGTCAGGGAGGGAAGGGACGGGCAGCCGCGCGCCCCACTCACCAGGACAGGCACAGCCCACTGACATCTTCACATCGCCCGCCGCTGAGGGCTCAGCCGAGTCACGGTGCCCGCCCCGCGCGGG